AGACCACAGCTGAGATATGAGGTAAGTGAGAGCAGACCCACAGAAGGTGAGAATTCTGAAGCACATCGACTCCCAGATCTCTGTTTGCAGTGCACAGTCAGGAGGAGGATAAACATTTCTCCTTGTCTCTTCTCCAAATTCACAATGGCAGGAGGAAACATTTGTATAAATAGCTCTTGAATCCTGACTTTTGTGAATTTGGTTTTGGTAATCCATGCCTATAGGTGTTAATTCTTAGCCTCCCAGAAACAGTCATATTTTCCTTTGTCTCTTTTGTTTTGTGTCATTTGTCATAAGGATGAGAAATCATAAGATGAGAAACTCCATTTGTCTTGTTTTATGTCCTGAGCCAGCTAGGAGCCTGAGACATGAAGTGACAGGCAACTTTGTCCAAGCATGGCAGCTTTCAGGGAAGTGTGTCTTAATAAAGGGTCACTGGCTATAAAGGGCCTGTGTCATCTCTATGCCTTCATTGCTTCGCTTGTGCTGGGAAAATTCTCATCCCAGTATCACCTTTCTGGTAACACAGCTTAGTGGGTCTGTGATTTACAGTGTCTGTCTTGTGGGAGATAGAGGTTTCTTTGCCACCTGTGACAATGAAGGTCTTTGGTTTTTAAGTTGTCTTCAGAGTGACTCTGCATTGAGAGGGCTGTATTTCTTTAAGGACATCTCTTGTGAACATGGTTAAGCCATAAACAGCTTATTGTTTTGTGTATGTGTGTGTGTGTGTGTGTGTGTGGTGGGAGGTAAGTAGGTTTATTTGTTTTTAATGGAGGTACTGGGGATTGAAACCAGGACCTTGTGCACGCTAAGCACATGCTCTACCACTGAGCTTTACCCTCCTCCCTGGCTTACTGGTTTTAAGCATAAAAAAGACCTACTTGTTTGGAGTCACCAGTAAGAGAGCTCTCATCTTAAACAAATGCCTTATTGATACCTAAGGGAAGACTAGGTTGAAAAAAAAAAGAGACAAGAGAGAGAAATTGATACAGAAGAACATCTTGTGAGAAAAGAGAAAACAAAACACTTTGTTAAGAAGATTAGGAGGTGATCAAACTTAGAAAAAAGGTCAGGATCTGCAGATGGCACTGAAGCAGGTGTAAAAGGTAGGTAAATATTGATAACCAGGAAACAGATTTGACAAAGACTCAGAAGATACACAGAAAATTTTGATTTGTTGTCCCTCACTCTGTAATCATACCCCACTGGTTCCAGACCTTCCACACATTGGACCTGTTCTACCAAAAAAAATTTCTTGGACTACCCGACTCTTAAAGGAAAGAAAAAGTTTATAGTAATTACACTACACATCTAAGACTAGGCAAGTATGCCCCTGAGTTCATTCTTAAGTAAAACCTACACTTCTCCCTCAGTCCCTTGGAACTATTAATCATAATTTATCTTTGAGATGTAAGCATCCAAAGAGAATTGTTGGCAAAAGCAACCGTGGAACAGGAACAATAAAGGAAAAAGAAAAAGAAAATAGAGATTTTTTAAAAAAGCAAACTGCTATATGTTCTATAAGCTTTCTTTCCCCAAGTTTTGTCTAGAGCCTTCGTATATTTCTATTAAAGACAAATAAAAATCTTAAAAACTCTTCTCCCTGGATATGGTCAAAGGCTTCAGCTATCTGAGTGGGTAACCTTAACTTGTTCCATCTGCCAGAAACACCA